AATGATTCCAGGCATCAACAGTGGGCTCAACATGAATGCACACATGTGTGTTATAAAACTGAGGGTGGCCTGGAGTTCCTGATTCTTCTGCCCCCAGGAGAATTCCAGATATGAGTCTTCATGTCCGGCTTACTGTTTCTGTGTGTGTGCATCTGTGTATAATATACACACGTGTGCTTTTGCATATGTGGGTGCAGCGCCCTGTGCCTGTGGAGCTCAGAGGTGCTTGTGTCTTCTGTTTTCACTCTCTACCTTTAGTTTTGGGGACAGAGACTCTTGGTGAACCTGGAGGTCGGTGATTCAGCTTCTGGCTGGCCATCCGGCCTCAAAGTGCTTGCCCAGCACTTTGAAGCATATGTGTGTGGCTATGCACGTGTCAAGGCATGTGTCTTGGAGGCCACAGGACAACTTTAGGGAGTTGGTTCTCTCCTTCCACCATGTGGATCCTGGGGGTTGAGTTCAGGTCACCTTAGTGAACTTGGTGGCAAAGAGCTTTACCTGCTTAACCATCTCGTTGGCCCCAAAACTGAAACCTTAAAACCACATCAGAGACCGAGACCCATTCACTTAGGCCAGTGGTTCTGAGCCTTCCTAAGGCTGCGACCATTTACTACAGTCCCTCATGCTGTGGTGACCCCAACATTATTTTCCTTGCTACTTCCTAACTGTGATTTTGCTGCTGTTGTGAATATCTGTGTGTTTTCCGTTGGCTTTATGCAACTGTAAGGCTTGTATAGGGAGATCGTAGGATCGAAGGCAGAGATTAGAGGGACGGGGAGAGGGCCAGAGTCAATTCGCACACTATCTTGCGTCGGCGCAAGTAAATGAAACTGGATTAGATGACTCTAGCCTGAAAAAGATAATGCTCGACAGGCAGGAAGAGCAGCAGTAATTACATCACATCCTGCCCTCACACAGACTAGATGCTATTAAAGCCCAAGTTGACTTAATTTGTTTATATTCATGCCTTTAGGTAAGGAGGCACAGGTCCCACTTTTTCTGGGGGCTGGGGGGATCTTCGTCACATTAGTCTATACTTATTTCTACTTTGGGACAATTGGAGTAAGATTAGAGCTTCAGATCTTAGTAGGAACATGGGGTGGTGGGACTTGGGGTGCATTCCTGTCACCCAGGAGGCTAGGGGATCATGATTTGAGGTCACCCTTGGCTACATAGCAAACTCAATGCCAGCCTATGCTTTTTGAAGCTGTCTCTAAGACAAACAGACACACATAAGTGAAAGCTCATGGATTGCTAATGCTTAGTTCAAGGGGTAATTTCGAGAGAATTGGAATAACAGGATAAATGAATGAAGGTCAGGATATTAGCCCAGCAGGAGTGGAGGTGACAGGACAGCTTTTGAGAATCGGTTCTCCCATTCCACAGTGTGGGTCCCAGGGATCAAACTCGAATGCTCAGGATCGTTTTTATTGGCTGGGCCATCTTGCAGGGCTCCACCTTGTATTTTGAGGCGGTCTGGCTTTGGGTCTTCATGGTTTTGGCAAGCACTTTCCCAACTGAGCCAGCGCCCAAACCTCCTTCATTTTGTTTTCCAATAGGATCTCTCATGTAGCCTAGTCTGGCCTCAAACTGTTACCTCAGTTAACTAGATGAAGGACTGACGATAGTCTTGTGATGGGAGTTTAGAATATATATTTTAGAGCTACTTTGCATAAGAAAGGGCCGGGCGTGAAGGCACATGCCTTTAATCCCAGCACTCGGGAGGCAGAGGCAGGAGGATCTCTGAGTTCGAGGCCAGTCTGGTCTACAAAGAGAGTTCCAGGACAGCCAGGGTTGTTACACAGAGAAATTTATTTTTGAATTAAAAATAAAAAGGAAGAAGACAAAACAAAACACAAATGAATTAAGAGTCATAGAAGACCTTGGTCTAGGGCTAAAAGTCCTGCTGAAGTTCAATAATCAAAAGGTGGGGAAGGGGTCTGAGGATGTGGCTCAGTTGGTAGGGGACTTGTCTAACATGCAGGAATTCCAGGCCTGATGATTTATTCTTATATTTCTCACACTCAAGAGATAGAGGCAGGAGGATTAATAGTTTAGGGTCATCCTCAGCTACATACTGAGTTCTGCACCAGTCTGCCTATATGAGATCTTTGTCTCAAACAACAACAACAAAGGGCTGGGGAGATACTTCCGTCAATAAACTGCTTGCCTTGCAACTCTGAGGATCGGAGCTGGATTCCAAGCACCTGTAGTCAACACTGGGCGTGGCACCCCATACCTGTAATCTCAGGATCGGCAGAGTAGAGATAAGGATGTTTGGGGCTTGCTGCCAGCCAGGCCAGGTGAATCACTAAGTTCCAGGTTCAGTGAGAGGCGGTCTCAGAGTCCAGCTAGGGAGTGAGTGATTGGGACTCACCCAGTGAATGTCTGTCTGACTGTGTCCTCCAAATTTGTGTGTACAGATGTGTTCATGCAGCAGCACACAGAGACACATGCACGACAAAGATGTTTACTAGCTTCTATGGAGGACAGTCCTCTCTGCAGGGTAGGGCAGAATACTTCTCCATGGAAGGCAGCACTGGTTCTGAGTTAATGGGTAGAGGAAATGACTTTCAGTAGCCTCCAGGAGGCAAGCTTGTGACTCAGGGGTTGGGATAATCCGGCAAGGAAGGGTCCAGACGTCTAGGCAGGTAAGAAAACAAGGAGGTGCAGCAATCCAGATTCCTGGGTGAGGAAACCCAGGGGAGGGACTGCAGGGGGATGGGCCCTGGAGGAAGAAAAAGCTTCTGGGAGCTGAGAGGGGAAGAAAGGTGCTGTGGGGGAGGGGAAAGGCTGAGAAAGGAGGGAGGTGCACAGGGAGGAGGGGAAGGGATAAAGACAGGAAAAGAGCAGAGGAAGAAGAGAGTGACAGAGGCAAGGAGGACAGGAGAGGTACAGGGGGGTTGGGAAGAGAGAGAGAGCCACCAAGAGGAAAGGAGGGAGGCTTGTGGGGAGGGGAGCTAGAGAGAAAGAAATTGAGGTTTGTGTGTGAAGGGGGGAGACTAACCTCATTGCTCAACAGCTTCTCCCCTCCTCCCCCTTTCCTCAAGACATAGTCCTTGCTGGCATAGGCTGGCACAGCGCTCCACAACATCCAGGCTCTGGCCTGTAAGCCCCAGGGATCCTCCTGTCTTTGCCTCTCCAGGGCTGGGATCACTCAAGCTCACCAGCACACCTGGGTCCTTGGGGACGGAGAGATGCTGAGCAGTTAGAGCGCTTGTTGCTCTTCCAGAGGACCTGAGTTCAGTTCTCAGCACCCACAGGATGGCTCACAACCACCTGTTCCAAACCCAGCACCTGATGCACAACTACAAACACGCACGCAAAACACTCATACATAGATACAAGAGATCGCAAAACCCCATAAAACTCAGGCTCTCATGCTTGCACAGCGAACACCTTGCCAATGGAGCCATCCTCCCAACCCGTACCAAAGACTCCGGTGTTGCTCTCGGTGCTTAGAAATGGAGACAGCGCCAGAGTCTGGATTAACTGTTTGCCGATACACTGATCCTATTCTTAAAATATTTTCCTACCGATATCAAAAGTCTGGGCTGCACAGGATCATAGAAACCAAACTACCTAGGACAGAGCCAGGTGGGCTGAGGTACAGGCCTGTAATCCCTGCACTCAGGAGGCGGAGGCAAGGGGAACCACAGGTTCGAGGCCAGCCTGAGCTACAGATGAGCCCCTGTCCCCAAAGAGAGTGGTCAAGTAGCCAGGCTAAGCCACATAAAGCCGCCACAAGACTCTCTCCATGAAATGAATTAGGTTCGGGTCAGATAAGAGTTTGGTAAATTTACCCGGCCTTTTCAAGAACGTTTTATCTCCTTTCTAGAATGCGTTACCGTAGAGATGGGTTTGCTTGCTGGGGAAAGCATGGCTTTTACTTCTTACCTGAGCAGCGCTCTGTGCATGTGCGTGAGCTCATCGGAAGGCAGGGAATCGCAAACCCGAGTGCTTACTTTTCAGGGTTAGTTCAATTGCATGCAGGTCCCTAACTGCAAAGCCACCACCATTTACATCCTTCCTCTTGTTTAGCTTGTCATAGGCTGCACGTCCTGCGAGTCTAGCCACTTTGTCAATGGAATACACCAGTTGCACAGGGCACACCCGACACTCGCTCATTGCGGGAAGTCTTCCCTCAGAACTTGCAGGATCTGAACGCTACTGCCTCAAAAATGATACCGCGTGCCCGTGCGCGCTCGCGTGCAAGGTGCCTGAGGGTTTCATGTAACACCCTGGTTTCCATCAGGAGCCTTGAAAAGTCCGAAACTAGAAAAGCAATTCGGTTCCCCGAAACGTCTCGCTTAGCAAATCTGTTCGTTCCGAGATTGTGGCTAAGAATCAGCTCCGACTGCGACGCGAAGGAGAGCGGGGGAAGGGGGCGAAATGTCCGTTTCAAGGCTCCCCGCCGGCTGCAGGAGCCCTGCTGCTCCCCGGACCCTCGCGTGCGCGCCCAGGCCGAGCGCGGTCGGCGTAGCGCCGTGCTCCCCGGGCGCGCGCACGCACGCACGCACGCAAGCTCGAGACCGCGCAGGGCCGGGCCGGCACGGCGGCGGGCGCGCGCAGCTCGGGAGGCGGCGGCGGAAGC